GCGCGGGCGAGTCGATAGCCCGGCCGCGTCCGCACTTGCTTTCACAGGCGCCCGCGCCAGCGCCGCGCGTTCCACACCGCTCACAAAATAATTTACTCGTCTTGACCGGGTCGCGTCGTTATAATAAGCGGCGGGGAGCTTCCCAGGAAAGATTACTTTAATCAAATCCTTTCGAACACGCACAGAGGCGGTAGAGTACCTTAAGTGGTTGATGGTGACGATATTACTTTCTACGGGCGTATCAATGGGCTTTCAACCGTCACATTTCGAGAGACACACGACTCTATGCGTATGAAATATGTAGACAAAACTGGAAAATGTTTCAAGCAGACACACGATGGAAACGAGAATTTTAAGGGGTAAATTTTTGTCCTGTATTCTTTGTGGGCTTCAAATAGATATTTAAATCGATTTCACCATTTCATCATATAGTTACGAGCGTAAAGACTTCTTCAACGTATCATTGACAACGTTCATGTAGAACTCAAAGGGGAGGACGGTTGAAATCGGATAGATGATTTGTGATCGGGCGCGTGAACGGGCCATTTTATTGTTTCCTGTTAGTATAAGTGATGTTTTATCACGCGCAAATGGTGACGATGTTCCCCGCTAATGAGAGATCGGGTGACCACCCGTCAACTTGTGGGGGTTTCCTAACAGTATTCCAATATCGATGCATCGCAACCGGAACAAGCTGTAAATCTCGACTTGGTCTTCCGACATGTGCAGTATGTGGAAGTGAAATGCAATTTAGTTGTGTGTGTGTTGTGTAAGAGATGAATATAACAATGGAGAGGAAGGAAGCGTTTGGTTCGGGAACTGCTCTATGCATTCGCATGGTGTTGATGCAGGAAACCATGAAATTTCCCGATCAGAGTAGCCGCGGCTGGAAAGCTCTAGACAGTGGGCGGCTAAATTAAAGAACTTAGCTCCTACTAGTGGGCAAATCCAGTCCGTCGAACCCTGGGATCGCGTCAGAGCACTGAGTGACGTTGAATCAGGAAGCGTTTCTTTCCAAACGTCGTGATTGTCATTGCAGCTTGCGGGCCAGACGCGTGAGGGGTGGGCCGGGGCTGGGAGGGTCCGGCGCAGGCTTCCGTGAGACTTGACCGAGGGCGGCCGGGCGGAGTGGGGCGGGGGGGCTTGGCGTGCGGC